CTTAAGCCAGCCCTTGCATTGTTTCTGTGCATCTGGGTTAACACACCTTTGAAATGCCTCTTTTTCAGACCTTTCAGAAACTTAATGACCATCAAGAGAGCACATAATCTTGTAACTATCTTGTAATCCAATGCTCACCTTGCTTTCTCCCACCTTTATGCACTTTTCCTCACATTCCCTTCTTAATTTCAAGTGTAAAAATAAACTGGAAAACTCATTCTCTATAGCACATGAGATCTTGTTTCCCAGTATTGTCATCAGTTTAGCTAAATAAATTCTTATAAAAATTCTCTACAGGTTTGGTTGTTTCTTATGCTAATCCTGGGTTTCAGTTTAAAGGAAAAGTAAGAGGAATAGCAACCTGAAATTTCTCATGGAAATCTGTTGTCTGCTTTTGATCGCAGTCCAGCCTAGCTATAGAGGAATTTTTAATGGAAGACAATTATTACTATTTAATGGAATTTCAGAGAGGAGTGCCCACTCCCTCAAATGAAGAGTAATTTTACCTATCTCTGCCAATATTAAAGAAAACCAAATAAAACTAAACTTGTCTTGGGCAGAGACTAAAGGATGGATCTATTTCTCAGGTTCCTTATACAGAAAATGAGTTAAACACTTAATGCTCTTTAAAACCCCTCTCAACTTGAACTTATCTATGTGCACTTGTAAAGGATGGAAATTTTGGAATCAAACTGAAACAAGGGAGGATAACAACACCATAGAGAAGGGCAAAGAATAAGGTAAAGGTCATGACAACAAGTAGCAGATTTTCTACAGGTGTACCTGGGGTCCACAAACATCCTGAAGCATGGGAGGTATGACAAAGAGAAGTTAATATCTCTGCTCAGCAATCTGTTCTCTTCTTATCCTAGTTTTTCCTTTTTGTACTACATACAGTCTTTTATTTATGATGAAACTGAATTTAATGATTTACTCAATAAATGACTAAACCCATTTGTCTAGGAAGTTATTGATACTCATGATCATGGAAGAATGGTCCATTCCCTCTTCAGTGACATCTCAGCATTTTGTTGAATAATAGGAAAAGCCTCTTCTCAGTTTTCTATTTTTATGCAACAAAATGTATCTATTCTAGAAAAAAATGTGGGTTTCCCAGCCCCTCCAACAGTTGGCCTGTGCCTGGATGGTCCATCCTTGATTGGGAGGGGCAAATATCAGAATGACTGTGACAGCTGCATGTGGCTGTTCAGGAGATTTAGCTCTACTTAATTAATGGCTCCTAGGGCAGTCAGGGATGAGGATTAATGTACCAGGCTCTCATTAGTGTCTGTTATTTGAGGTAGGCTGTGTGTGCTCTTGCACAAATATAGGAAAACATTATAACTAGACCCAGTCTTTAAAGATGGGTGGACTCTATTGATTATAGAGCATGGTTTCCAGTTAGAGAATCACAAATATCTGGAGGCATGAGAGGTATTACAGAGCATTCATATGAGCACTGAGTATTGCCTCAGGCTAAATAAATAAGCCCCCAAGTGTATTATTATTTTTGCAGTGAATATAGAAACTTATGTATTGAATAAAATTCATAGTCATTGAAAATTTTTACCTAAATCACAAATATGTAATTTAAATAATATAAATGGAGAGATAGAATTACAAGAGTATAATTATGAACATGTGAGACTCCAGGACATATGCATGTCTGTATATGTTTCTGTGTATGTATAGAGGGTTTGTGTTAAGTAACTTTTTGGTCTTAAATTTGTGAACCAATGTTCTAAAACCTGTCACATATGAGAGCACCCTATAAACATCAAGTAAAATGGCTAAAATGGTACATATGCCTACAAGGTAATGAGGCAAAAAAGGCTGAATGAAAGAATGTATATAATGTGTTAAACACAATATGTGGCACAGAGTACCTGCTCAGTGAGTTTCAGTCATCCTTATCAGTACCAGTTATGATTAAGTAAACTATTGGGAAAAGGATGTACTTGCTTGTAATTATATAAGCTGGCAAATAAATGAAAACAGTTCCCTGCCTAAAGTAATGCAAAGTTGTTTATTCCATATTCTTGCTCCCATAACACATTGTTCATACTTTGTTATTCCACATCACATTTTGTTGCAATCACTTATTCACAGGTCTCTCTTTTCCAGTAGACCATATGATCTTTGATAGAAAGGATGGTATCTTATCTTTGTATTCCTAATAGGTAGTGTAATCAGAACAAGTATGAGCTGGATACATTTGTTGTTGTTGTTAATCCTCACTCAAGGATATCTTTTTCATTGCTTTGTAAAGAGAGTGGAAGGGAGGAAGGGAGGGAGGTGAAGAGAGAGAAAGAGAGAGAAAGAGAAACATTGATGTGAGAAAGAAACATTAATCGGTTGTCTCCTGTATGTGCCTTGACCAGGGCTGGGGATCAGGCCTGCAACCCAGGTACATATCCTTGACTTGGAGTCAAACTTACAACCCCTCGGTGTGCAGACTGATGCTCTAACCACTGAGTGAACTATACCGGTCAGGGTGGATACATTTTTAATGCATATATAAAAAAATTTTCAAAAAGTATACTGGAATTAATACACAAAGAGAGAGAGAGATTATAGGCATAATGGTTCCTAGGGCTGGTGAATTTACATGTGAAGAATTACAAGAGAGTTTAGAAAGAAATTCAAAATTTTGAGATAATTGAGAGAGTGATCATTTGTGGAAATAAGAATTATTTAATCTCTTAAAATAAAATCTAATATTATATTTATATTAGAAATAATATTTTTATTGTGCTTTATGTTTTATAGAACTCTTCCATAAGAATACTACAACATGAGAATAATTTTTCTTATTTTGTGCAACAAGAAACTAAACAAAAGCTGTTTTATTTGGTTAAGGTCATACAACTAGAAATGGTAGAGTTGGGAATCAAACCCAAGTCTTGTAATTTTAAGACCAATGGTCTTCAACAAGTCATGGAATGTAGCAGGTATTATGTAACACTTATCAGTTATTATAGGGATGATCATGGCCTAGAATGAAGAGGGCTGAACTTCATATAGAAAATTCTAAGATAAGTTAGATAGTCAAAACATGAAATAAAATTATGGAAAAGTTTTACTTTTATATAAGGAACTAGAGGCCTGGTGCATGAAAATTCATGCACTTGGGTGGAGGGGTCCCTCAGCCTGGCCTGTGCCCTCTCACAGTCCAGGACCCCTTGGGGGATGTCCACCTGCTGGCTTAGGCCCACTCCCCAGAGGATCAGGCCTAAGATGGCAATCGGATGTCCCTCTGGCAGTCCAGGAGCCCTTGGGGGATGTCCGACTGCCGGCTTAGGTCCAGAGCGGGCCTAAGCCGACAGTTGGACATCCTTAGCACTGCCAAAGAGGTGAGAGAGGCTCCTGCCACCGCTGCTGCGCTCGCAGCCATCAGCCCGGCTTGTGGCTGAGTGGAGGTCCCCCTGGGGAGTGCAGGATGTCCCCCTGGTGGTCAGTGCGTGTCATAGTGACCAGTCGTTCCACCGTTAGGGTCAATTTGCATATTACCCTTTTATTATATAGGATGTGTGTGTGTGCTATTGTGTTATATATTTTGTTTTTAATATCCCACTTCTCAGATCTTTTATGGGTATAGGGTGTTGCTCTGCAGTTATAAATAGGAAGGCACAGATGAGTTTAAGTGTCTTATTCCTTATAGTAAAGTATGGCAATTATACCAATTGGAAAATAAAATATCAAGAAATGACTTTAAACAAACTAACAAATAAGCCAGTTAATACAAATTAAAGCTTTCATGGGCTTTTTAAAAAGAGAGAAGCTCTATTAGGCTAGCACTTAACCAAAACTCAGAAACAGAAGAGAATTTAATTATTTATTCCTAGTTAATACAAGAAAAATTAATATGACTAAATGCTAAGTGTTCCTTAATGAAAATTATAAATGTAATTGAACTTCATATTTACTAAAGGCAGAAATGTTAAAAAAACAGAGCCAGAGAGCTTCAGTTCTCTTATCATCTCTCTTTAATTATACTCAGTCTTTTAACCCAGAGGTTTCCACATACGTCTCCATTTCATGTATTCAGTAGATTGTATCTTCATAGAACATTTACTAGTAAGAGTTTTCTGACATTAAATAAAATAGGCTTGCAGTTTAAAAGAAAGTCACATCTGGTTTCTGACAGGAGTTCAGCTTTAGAAGAGTCTTTCCAAGCTTTTTATAAATGCCAGCCTTCAAAAAGCAGGTCTACCTTTTTTCTTTCTTTCTTTCTCTTTCTTTTTTTTTTTTTTCTGACTGCATTGAGACAAGCCAAGACTGTAGATATATAGCAGGAGGAGGAAAAAGGTCAAATTACACATAAGAGCAGTGAGGTTTATTTCTACCAACATTAGCTAAGGGTGTGCATTGACAAGAAACGTAATTTATTAGAGATTAAGAGCAATGATGTAAAACACCAAAGGGTTGGAGTGGGTTGAGTGGGTATTATGTAACAAAACTGGAAATGTATAGCCAAATGAAAATTTTTGGCTGGTGAATATATGAAAGAAACTTGAATAATTAAGTTCAATACAGAGAACATATCAACTCAAAAATGGTCTAATTCATAAAATATTTGTTTAAAAGACATTTTTAAGACATTTAAAAGACTTAAAAATTAATGAATTAACAAGAAAAATTAGATAAATAATGTTGGTTCTAAAGGATAAAATTATAGAATGTTGACAATCTTATAATTATTTTTTAAGTATTTTCCTTTTTTAAAATCTTTATTGTTGAAAGTATTATATATGTCCACCTTTCCCCCCCCCATTGGCCCCCTCCATCCCACCCCTCCCCCCACCATTTACTTGAAAATATATAGCTTCCCTTCATTAATTTTTGCATTCCCTCTTCCATCAGCATATCTGAGACTATTGAAACATTAATCTAAAAACTTCTCTTTATAGAAAGACCAAACATTGAATTTCAAACTTTTAAAGTATTTTGTCATAAAAACTCAACCAACAGCAGCAACACAAGTTGACAATAGATCTTACCATCTCCTGGGTCAATGATCTCCACTGTGGTCACCGTGGGAAATTCCAGAGCTGCCAGCACTGGTTCTGAGAGAACCACCTGGAAAGTCTCAGACTGCTCATGCTCCTCATCACTCATGATGTGCACTTTCCATGTGGCCCTGGTCTGGCCTGGGTTGAACTGCACTTGTTTCTGTGCTTTACCTTTGAAATCTTTGTCTTTTTCTGCAGTCCCATCTCTTGTGCCAATACCTACACAGAATCATAAAATCACTGTCTTAGTTTCATTTTTCAATTGAATTATTAAGGCTTTCCACATTAACTTTTTGTATATCACTTGATCATGCACTGCAAAGTAGACCCCATTCTGATTCCATGAAGTGGATAATTGGGTGTGGCTCCTACAATGGAAGTATTCCACTGGAGGTGTTCATGATTCTATTCTACTCTTGCCCCATTGTGGTTTTACTATATATTCTTTTTTTTTTTAATCCTCACCCAAGGTTTTTCCATTGCTTTTTAGAGAGAGAGTGGAAGGGAGGGATGGAGAGGGGAAAGAGAGAGAACATCAATGTGAGAGAGGCACGTTGACTGGTTGCCTCCTGCATGAACCTCAACTGGCTCCGGAACCAACCTGTAACTCAGGTACATGCCCTTGACCAGGAATCAAACCTGGACCCGCCAGTGCTCAGGCCAATGCTCTAATCCAAGCATGTCAAACTCACCGCCTGCAGGCCCCATGCTTCATTTATTTGGCCCGTGTTAGCCTTTGAGTTTGACATGCTTGCTCTAATCGCCGACTCACACCAGCCCAGGGCTTACTATAAACTAGTATTCTTTAAGCTAAGTTTGTGTTAGAACTTCTACGATGGAATGCTAAATTTGCTTTGGATGAAAAATAAAGATTCCCCTTTTATAACTAACATATAGTATTTACTGTGAGGCCAGTGCTAGTCTATCTTGTTACTTAAAGTATGGTCCATGGACCAGCAGCATGAGCAACATCTTGGAGATTGTTAGTAATGCAGTTTCAGCCCAACCCCAGACCTACTGAATCAGAATCAACATTTTAGCAAGATCCCCAGGTAAATCTATGTGCATTAAAATCTAAGGGTGGATAGACACATATTACAGACTTTATATTTCTACAAGGTTCTATATAAAATAGGTGCCCCATTTTAATAAAGGATGAAGAAATGATGTATAGATTCTGGAGGAAACATATTAGTCCACACTTTAATCTAATGTGGCAGATGAGACAGTCAAGCATACTCAATGTTCAAAACAATGCCCTTCCTTGGAGATAAAACATATTTAGCTGGTAAACCATATATATATTATATTATTTGATGGGGCAAAAAGAACTCTGGAAATTAAAAAAGCTTATAAATTGGTTTAAATGTATGCTTTTTTAAAAAAATTGAGTATTAACTATGAAACAAACATATTACTTTTATATACTAAGTGATGCTACAACTCAGTCTTTTTCTCTGGTGTGGAAAAAAAATGGCATGGAGGTTATGCAAGGTACTTTTGGAATGAGAGAACTGATTTTTTATCTTACCTTGGCCACATGGAGGCTTTGGGATCATAGGCAAATTATTAACTTCCTCAGTTGTAGACAATGTAAGAGCACGATATGTCGTCGTTGAGAGTCAGCTCTGGAGCCAACCTCAGTTCTGCCTCTTAGTAGCTGTGTAACTGTGGGCATAAAACCTTTCTATTTCCTTCTCTGTGTGATGAGGGATATAATGACATTCTTCTCATGAGGTTACCTATGCAAGTTATTGAGAACCAGGCCTGGCACATAATAAGAACTCAATAAATGTTAACTATCATTATTATCACTTCATAGTCCATAACCTAATAAAGTGTCAGGCATTTAATAAGCACTCAATAAAACATTAATTGAGTTAGTGAATAGAGGGTTGTTATAAGGAGTAAAAGGAAAAAGTAATGTGCTTAATGAAGTATCTTTTATTAGTAAATGTTCAATAACTGGTGGCAATAAGATCCTTGATGCAAATCATTTTGTGAAATGAAATTACGCATTTATTAATGGGTTATAAATGTATAATCATTTCTGAGAAAATACATGTATAAATTTCATGTAATTTATAATTTACTAACTGTGCTCCAGAAGGTAAGTGATATTTTGCTTTTAGCTATAATGCAAAATATCTAATTCTAAAAGTCCGTAAATGAAAATGGAGGTCATAGAACAGTAACATAAAACATATTCATTGTAGAGCTCCTATGAGATTACCTTTCACTTTAATCTGACTTTCATTTCCAGTTCTAGCATGAATTCTATTACTATCTCCCATGATTCATGGGTGTGGGCAGCACACAAAAGTCTTTCCAACTTCCTATTTCCTCAGGTTACTAATTAACATGTGAGGTTAACCAAGCAGAGTGATAAAACCTTTTTAAAATTGCTGGTGTTGATCTCACATAGAAAATATTAGTGCATTGGAAAAATAACTTCACAAGAAAAAAAGACTCTTGTTTGACATTTTAACATTCAGCTTTTTTTTTTTTTTTAAAAAAAGCAATGGAGAGAAAAATCTGAAAATATTGGTTAAAAAATATTTTTCAAATATTAACATTCCCATTGCTACAATGGGCCACTTGTGAGTGAATAAGTAAATATACTCATTAGGAGTGGGAATTCAAGTAAAATGCAAATAAATGAAGGAATTATAAAGAATTGTTAAGGCACTGTGTTTTTTAGTTATTCCTCTGATTTTCCTCTGATTTATTTCTAAGCACAAAGCACAGTGAAGACTAATTTCTCAATGACAAAAAGAAAGACAGGACCATATTCTTGTTCTGCAGAACATGTGTGTGTCCAGAGAACATGCTTCTAAAAGAGAGAGCAATAAAGCATTCACTATGCTCTAGGAAGGTTAAACACAGAGAGTGTAAATGACAGCCTAAGAAGAGGCACATGCAAATAAAGAAGATGGAAGCAAAGCTGCCCTTGCTGCAGGATGGGTCTGCAGGCAAACCAACCCCACCTAGATTCAGAGGAAACTTAAAAGGTCAGCAGACCCCAGCTGGCATGGCTCAGTGGTTGAGCGTTGACCTATGAACCAGGAGGTTAGTTACAGTTTGATTCCCGGTCAGGGAACATGCCCAGGGTTGCGGGCTCGATCCCCGGTTGGGGGCGTGCAGGAGGCAGACAATCAATGATTCTCTCTCATCATTGATGTTTCTATCTCTCTCTCCCTGTCCCTTTCTCTCTGAAATTAATAAAAAAATTAAAAAGTAAAAAAAAAAAATAAGATGAGCATAGTGTGAAAACCCCTCTTGTAAAGTTACAAAACAAAGAGTAGTTTTAAATTACAGGATAATTATTATCCAGCATCTAAACATCAGGGGAAATTATGGGGGGCAGGTGAGAATTGTGACTGTGGCAAGGATGTGTGTATGTGTGTGCTCATGTGTGTGGACGGGGATCTACTATTTAAGGCATTTTAATTTTATAGACCAGTAAAATTTCCAAACAGCATTTTGAAGACATAAACACAATTACAACTTTTTATTCTGCCAAAATTTTTCTAGATTCATATCTTAGTTGATACTTTCACTCAATAAAAGCTCTTTTGTCTATGAACATTCTATCAGTCTAGATATATATAAAAATATGGTACAGAAAATATATAATTGCTTGGGGTGCTATTATTTTTTATCAATATACCAAATATTTTGTGCCAACTATATTACTGCCTAAAATTACCAATATACTTATTGGTTAAAATACCTATTTTATACTTACATGAAATTGAATGTGAGCTTGAACTGGAGTTTTAGAAACTTGCTTTTGACTCTCAGTTTCATTCAAAAGGGCAAAGCAGCAGAAAATGATTAGCATTTAAAACTTTTCTGTTGGTACTGAAGAAAAGTCACAACATATATCTTCTATGTAGTGCTTTTATGCAGTGTTGGGGTTATTGAAACTTTAGTGAGCATTCAAATGCAATAAACAAATAGTAAATTATATTTTAATAGCTAATATGGTACTGAATAGTTTTTTGTTTATTATTGAAGTAGCCTTCACATGTGTTTTACACTGTTATTTCCACATTTGTATCTTATGAATAAATTACATAATTGCCCACACTTATTTAAGATCTAGAGACATTTAACATTTTTTAACTTATGGGTGATTACTGACAGTTTTGCAAAGTTATTTTATATCAGAAAAAGATCATATGTAGGTTTGAAGAGGTATATATTTTAATTCACATTTTCTTATTTTTACAGCCTTTGTGTTGATGATTTAGCCTTGACATAAAACTTTTGGTATGTTTTTCTTTAGCAGTTAAAGGACATTTAAATGTCAACATCTCCCTAATGTTTAAAACTAGAGCAGTAAACTAAAAAGATTTTAATCATTATAAAATTTTGAACTTTTGCTAGAAAACTGGGATTTTGTGACAGAAGTGGAAATTAAACTTACTTATAAATGAAGTCTCTCCCAAGTAACCTCTACGTTTAATAACAACATCTAGAAATTTGGAGTCCTCATTGATCAGGTAATATTCCTTTTCAAAGGAGATCCATGCCCAATTCAGGTGAAAATGCTGCTTGGTTATCTTGTTTCCACCTAAAAAACAAAAATTTAAAGCACCAAATTTGTGAATGAATGACTTTAAAAATTCCACAGACTACTTTAATAATGCAACATGATGAACCTCTAGCCAGACTCATCAGGAAACAAAGAGAGAGGACCCAAATAAACAAAATCAGAAACTAAAGAGGTGAAGTAACATCTAACCCCACAGAAATACAAAGGATCATAAAAAGAACTAAGAACAACTTTATTCCAATAAACTGGACATCCTGGATGAAGTGGACATATTCCTAGAAAAATACAACCTTCCAAAACTCAATCAGAAGAATCATAAAACATGAATAGGCCGATAACTACTGATGAAATTGAAGCAGTAAAACAACAACGACAAAAAACTCCTAGCAAACAAAAGCCATGGTCCAGACGGATTCACAGGGGAGTTTTACCAAATATTCAAAGAAGAACTAACACCTATTATCCTCAAGCTATTACAAAAAATTTAAGAGGAAGGAACACTTCCAAACTATGTCTATGAGGCCAATATTACCCTAATTCCAAAACCAAATAAATACATGACAAAGAAAGAGCACATAGATGCTAAAATCCTCAACAAAATTTTAGCAAATCAAATCCAGCAATACATTAAAAAGATCATACATTATGACCACATGGGATTTATTCTGGGAATTCAAGGATGGTACAATATTCTCAAATCAATAAATGTGATATAGCACATAAAAAGATTGCAAGACAAAAATCACATGATCATATCAATTGATACAGAAGAAGCGTTCAACAAAATCCAACACCCTTTTTTTTTTTAAATATATTTTATTGATTTTTTACAGAGAGGAAGGGAGAGAGATAGAGAGTTAGAAACATCGATGAGAGAGAAACATCGACCAGCTGCCTCTTGCACCTCCTACTGGGGATGTGCCCGCAACCCAGGTACATGCCCTTGACCGGAATCGAACCTGGGACCTTTCAGTCCGCAGGCCGACGCTCTATCCACTGAGCCAAACCGGTTTCGGCCCAACACCCTTTTTTGCTAAAAACTCTTAGCAAAGTGGGAATAGAGGGATCATACCTCAACATACTACAGGCCATATATGACAAACCTACAGCCAACATCATACTCAATGGGCAAAAACTAAAACCATTTCCCCTAAGAACAGGAACAAGACAGGGTTGCCCTCTTTCACAACTCTTGTCCAACATAGCTTTGGAACTCCTGGCCATAGCAATCCGACAAGAAGAAATAAAAGGCATCCAAATTGGAAAGGAGAAAGTAAAACTCTCATTATTCGCAGATGACATGATATTGTAACATAGAAAACCCTAAAGACTCTATCAAAAAAACTACTAGATTTAATAAATGAATTCAGAAATGTAGCAGACTACCAAATTACCACCCAAAAATCCATAGCATTTTTATACACCAACTAGTGGCCTGGTGCACAAATTCATGCACATTGAAAGGGAATTAATTAGAAGAAATACTTTAATATTGCTATTCGCCCTTTCTCTATAATAGAAGTGTCAGAGATTAAAGAAAATTAGTAAAATGTATATGAAAATAATATATAAATTTATTAATAAATAAACAATAACAACATGATATAACAACAAAGACATGATATAAAAACAACAAAAACATGATATAAAAACAATAAAAACATGATATAAAAACAACATTGATACAAACAATGACTGATAAATTGATTAAAATTATTCTAGTATCTCCCTGTATACCACATTAAGAGTAAAAACACTTTCAGAGTGCTTGTGATGAAATATTTACAACTTTAATGTCACACGCTCTTCGAACTCTAGAGAAAGCAACATATAACTGACCATGTCCAAAAACGGGTTCAGGTAGGAATATCCCTACTGTGTCTAGAGTTTGTCCTTGTGATTTATTAATTATCATTGCAAATGCTGGCATCATGGGAAACTGTCTTCAAATTAATTTAAATGGGAGACCAGTGTCAGACGGGGACAAATCAATTCTTGGAATCAGAACAACCTCTCCTTCCACAGATCTTGTTAATACTTCAGCTTTGATTATGTTAGGTTGCAGTCTATATATATAAAACCTTACTATGCAAATAGACAAAATGGCAGAACTGAACAACCAGTCGCTATGACGTGTGCTGTCCATCAGGGGGTGCGCATGGAACATGGCGGGTGTCGGCCACTGTGGGATGGTGGAGCAAGTCAGCGGGGGTGCCAGACCAAGGCGGGGCACTGGTTGCTGTCATTGAGGCGAGCCTCTGGTAGTTACTGAAAATTCTTTGCTCCCGCGCACCAGGGTCCCGCCTTACACTGGCACCTGCTGCCAGTGACAGCCCCGCTCGCACCCACTGCCAGTGCTGGAGCTGCCGCTTGCACTTGCTACTGACACCCAGCACCAGCCCCAATCGCTTGGCACCATCAGCAGGTGTGAGTGGCTGCCGGCCCTAATCACCCCTCAGAGCTTTTCCACCTCCCCCAGCTCCTGAGGAGTGACCGGGGCTGGCAGCCACTGCTCTCACCCACAGCCAGTGCCGGAGCCACTGCTCGCACCTGCTGCTGGTGCCCAGCACCGGTCCCGATTGCTTGGTGCCATCAGCGGGTACAAGCAGTGGCTGCCAGCACCGATCACCTCTGAGGGCTTCTCCACCTCCCCCTGCTCCTGAGGGGCAATAGGGGCAGCAGCTGCCACTCGCACCCACTGATGGCACCGGCCCCAATCACTCTGCAGCATCAGCACATGGGAGTGGTGGCGGTGGGAGCAAGGCTGCCGGCAGACAGGGGACCGGGTACTGCGGCGGGAGGGGCTGGGCGGAGGCGTGAAGGATGGGCTGAGACCCACCTCTGTGCCCACCTCAGCCTCGTGGCCCACAGTTCCTCTCAAGGTGCATGAATTCGTGCACTGGACCCCTAATCTTTTGATAATAAATCTAGTACCATTACAAAGACCCCATTTACTATTAAGATTTCTCAGTAGCATGATGATTGCACCTACTTTCAATTTTAATTTATGACACGGCATTCCCGAAGGAGTAATACTATTAAGAAATTCGATGGGAAAATTTTCCTTTTCTGCATCATCTGTTGGAATCATTACTCAAATAGGTGTGAAAATCTCCATCGAGTATATGCAAAATTTCTTCATTTACTTTATGAACGTGCTCATTTTTTTGGACAAAGAATTGCACATTTAAATATATTTTTAATATTATCTATAGATATACTTTTTCCAAAGGTAGCTTCAATAATAGATCCATTACAAATCATTTCACAGGGGATTTCAATAATATCCATTCCTAAATGAAAACTGCTATCAAGTTTGCCATCTCCAAGTTTTACTAACCATCCACTATAAGCAGAATCCTCTGATCTCATATTTGTTTTAAGAGACAACTTTCTGAAACATCCCCAAACACTACAGTACTTAAACTCATTTGTGCTATGGCTGATCACATAGCATGTGGCACAACACTGAGACATTGTCAAAAATCCCCTCTGCGAAGGAGAACTTTCCCACCAAATGCAACATTCAAATTCATAATTTCTCTTAGTAATCTACCTATGGCATTTATAGTATGACTGGATGCCATGGTGCATTTATCAATAATGAGAAGTTGGGCCTTTTTTATGGTTTTAGCAACTTTACTCTATATTGAGTCTAGAAATTAAAAAGTTTCATTTAATGGAATTGGCAATTTATATTGGGAATGAAAGGTTCTTCCACCGAGAAGTAAATTTGCAGCAATTCCTGTAGACGCTGTGGGTAAAACAGTACCACCATGACCTCTAATATAAAGTATTAAAACTTTATAAAGATATGTTTTTCCACTATAGCCTGGACCATCCAAGAAAAAAACATTTGGGGTGTACAGTTTGATCTTTGATGGCATAAGGCTGCCAACTGTTCATCATTCAGAGAATTTATCAAAACCTCTGCCCTGTTGTTGTAGGATTCATCACATGTAGTTATATTCATTAATGAAGGATAGTCTGGAAGTTTGAAATGCTAACATTTCATTCCATGCAATGTGAATACTTCTTGAATTTAGTTAAGAGCATGCATTTTACAGTTCACACAGAGGCACCTTCTCTTCAGTGTAATTTCCAACAAAGATCTTCAATAAAATGAGATTTATTCTCATGCCATAATTTGTCTGCATCAGAAGGACATCCAAACATGCATATATATGCATAAAGTTGCTGTAGTTGTTTGGGCATATTAAGGATGATTGCATTATCAGTCATATTTTTCCATATGGTGCCGTCAAATTAATAATCCTCTATGTTTAGCAGCTTCATGAAATGTATCATAAATTACACCTCCTACAGTTCGCAGATCAGCAAAACTTATCGCACCTTTTACATGCAGAAGCAAAAGTCTAAGGTAATATCGTTCTGGTTCTCTAAAGCTCACGGTGAACAGTCTACCTAATACTTTATTCCTGTCCTTTTGGCATTTTCTCCAAGAGGAATTATTAAACACATAATGTTGTGGAATCTCCCAATAATAATTATGTGCATCGGAATCCTCTCTGTTCAGTAAGAACCAAGCCATCAAAGTCGAGTTATGCCTTTTAGCACTATCTATAACTTCAGCAAAATCGTCGGTATGAAAGTACAAATTCTGACCATTTGGCAAATAAATAGCTAATCTTGTGATTGCATGAGATTGGTCATGCATTCGCATTGCAAAAAGTCTCCAAACAGCCTCAGGAGTGCTCACATACCTGGAGTCAATGAAGTCTTGTACTTCGTCATGACTGATAATATTTTTTCAGAAATTTGAATATGTGCATAATCGTGCCCTTTATAGACGTATTTAAATAAATATTTGACACTTTTAATCGATGCACAGACTTCAACGTTTACATGACAGTTATATTTAAGGCACAAATACGGGTTATAAGGGGCAATCCAAGTGTTATCAACAACTTTATTCCCAATAGACATCATGCTACCAGATCTTCGTTTGTATTTGGGATATCCATCAATATTTCCAATGGTCGCATTTTGAAAGTCTT